ATTAGTTCTCTTACTACGGGATCTCTAAAGAATTCTGAAAGTGATCAGTACTACTCCCACAAAACGTTTTTATTCTGGTATTTTTGCAAATCTTCCAGTTCCCCTAAACATACTAATAGTACTCCTTGTGTCATTATGGCCAGGTTCACACATAATGTTAAGCCATAGGAGAATTGCTTCTTTGTCACTCAGTGTACAGTATGTGTGAATCTAGTCATTATGGCTTAGCATTACACATTAATCAGGGCACTATGGCATATTCAACAAATCACATCCTGGGGAAAAAATGGTCTTAATGGAATGTATGAATTCAATCTATGTGTCATGAGCAACAAACCCACAGTTTGTTGCTCAGGTATTGGAAATAGACTGAGGAATATTTATAATAACCATCATTTGGATTCTGAATGGGTGATTTTTCTTTAGCAAAAAATGTGTTCCCTGGTGCATGGGACTCTTCCTTTGTGTTTCTCTGGGGAAAAAAAGCCTTCTTGGAAAACCTCTCTGTGCCTTTTGGTTTTTTCAGAACAAGTAAATAAAACCTTTGGCTTCCCCCTTCATTTTCAGGACTGTATCTGACAGTCCTAAAAGTAAACACAAGGGGAAAAAAAGAAGGGAGCAAGAAATTCCAGTCATGTGGAGAAGTAACTTTTAAAACAAAATGTTTTGTGAATTCTTAAACACTTAAAGTATAGCTGGACTGCTGTAAATGTTGCTATACAAACATGAACAATTGAGAACCTCACTAATTTGATCTGAAGAGAATTAATGTTCTCCTACAGAGCATCATGATTGTTATAAAATGGTATTTTATAAAGCAAGACAGTTTCTCACATACCTTACAATACTGCTGCCTCTGAAATTATAATGAATAAATTTATCATACATTGAAATCACATAAGATTGCATTTTCCACAAGAACATGTGAGATTCCATGAAAAATGGCAATATCATGTAAGCTCTTTCATGAGAAAGAACATGGTAGTTCAGTAAGGCAGAAAAAAAGTATTGCACCAATGCATTTCTTCCTGATCATGAGATTGAAAACTTGTTTTGAAATAAACAAGCAAGTAATACTTATATTTCAGGATTCTGAACAATTCTCACATTTCATATGTAAGATGATGGATGATGATAGGAATGCAGGAAACAAACCTTCATAATCATTTATGTCCCCAGTGTTTTAAAGTAAGGATGACTTTCAACTGTTTCCTTAACCAAACATAATTGTATGACTACAGACCATATTCTTTCCCATGGAATTCTCTGAGTTCTTCTGCATAGTAAGAACTAAGAAAAATGGAAATGACACCTTTTAAAAAATGGATTGTTTGGTAAAGCATGTAGAAAGTATAGGGATCCTCAAAACCATATCAGCATGTAGGTCTAAACTGGAGAAATCTTTGAGCTGCTTGGGAGTCATCACAGTCTAAAGGTCTGTGGATTATCCTGAATATCTTTTTGATGTATGTACTCTTATAGAGTTAAAGCTAACGGAAGTATTGGTCTGTCATCTGCGTGGTCATTTTTCAATCAAAACTGATTCATCTGATAAACCCAAGAGAAAATAACTCCCAAAAAGTCATGGTTTATGGCTGCATACTCCCCTGTTTTCTTTGCTTCCCTTCATCATAATCTGAAATTCCCTTTGTTAATCAAAGTAATTCCCTCAAGAATACATCAGGAATGTTTTAAGCATTGGAAGTGAAAAGTTGTTGCTACAAATTTGCCAGAAAGGCTAAAATAGAGATTTGCTCTGTCATAAACTGTGGGAAAGTTTGCTTTAGAGCATTAAGGGCAGTGGGGGGGGGGGGATTTAATTCCAATCTGTTTATCTGTCTTCAATACACACAAACAGGCATAGCCATGCTTTCCGATGCAAATAGGGTCAAGAATGAATGGGTGCTGAGTAACTGTGGATTGAAAACAAGAATGAGTGGCCAGTATGCAAGAAGTATCTTGATTTGGTTTGTTTTGGTCATAAGGAGAGAATGAATGAGGATCAGATCAGAAATATATGAAAGAAGGGTGAATGGGGTAAGTGGAAGGGGAATACCAAGAAAGTTGGAGCTGATGAACATTTCAGAGACAGAGAGGTGAGCAGAGTGAAGAACAAAAGGTCCTGCATGGAACAGTGTTGACACAGTAGAAGCAAGGATCGAGAGGTGTGGAAGGGTAGTTACATTGGTATAAACTATTTTAGCTGTTTTCTTTCTCTTGACTTTAATTTCTTTATCCTGTTGTTTCTTGTTCTTTTCTGTGCACTGCATAACACTGCTTACTCCAAAAGGAAATAGCATGACAGTTATGTATCTGTGACATGCTTTTCAAATTTCACCATAGAAATGTATGACAAGTCATGTAATCTACAGACTATGGTGATCATAGATTTGAAGGGGCTGGATTGAAGCCAATTGCTGATATCAGGAAATAATTAAATCATGTAAATCTAAGCTTTCGAGTCTGTCAATGGAAGAGGGAAAGAAAGAAGCAGACAATTTACAAAGTCCCAATGCACCAAAGGCTGAATAACTACTGCTGTAAAAACAGTCCAGAATTAAAAACAAAAACAAATGCCATACAATATTTGATTTTTAAGGCTATGCTTGCTGGACAGAGGACATGAGGAAAAAAAAAAGGAGGACACATGATCCTTTTGCTGGACAATACCTGATTCAGTTTTGAATCAATAGTTTTTTCTATTCATTCTTTTACTGTTCTCTACAAAAGTGAGATTATTATTATTACTACTACTGTAGTACTAAAATATAACTAATGATTAGGAAGTTAGGTACTTATCTAAGGGAATATGATGAATAATGATTTTATTATTATATACAAAACAAATATTTTAAGAACAGTGCTAAATTAAAATGCCTATTGCTACATTAATGTGATCTTTGACTTTGTACAGGCTTTAAACACTCTTCAAAGCAAGGCTGTGTATTTGAAAGACTCTATTTGAATACTTCACATATAGCATACATTGAGGCTTAACTATTCCAGGCAATGAGTTGAAAAGTCTTCTCTGTACTTTGTATTGATGTTTTGCTATATTGTGAGGATATACAAATCCCAATTTGTAAAAAAGAGAAAAACCACCTCAATAACAGTACATTTACTACTTACACAGCTAATCCTTTTTATATCTTTTTCACATACTCTGCTAGATTTTAGGCACAACAGTCATAATACAGGGAGGTAAGTCTTTATATTGTAACACTGAATTTTCTAAGCAAGGCCACTGTGAGTCAGACAGGAGAAGGAAATTGAGAATTGGAAGTGAGCAGGAGTAGGGATGGCTCTCAGAGGTTATTGAAAGCTCATTCAGTCAAACTCACTCCTATACCCAGAGTTGTCAAATCAGCTCACTTCATTGCAGCCCTGGCTTCAACATGCTGTGCAGAAGGAAATGTTGAATTACCAGCAGGACCATGGCAGCCCACCCTAAAAAGGCACGGTGACCCATTTTATAATGAACCACGAGGGTAAGAACTTAATACAGGGCTGCCATGTTTTGTAGTAAAGTGACATATAGTTTGTAACCATTTACTTTTTTCTTAAAATCAGGAGCAAACCATCTGCCATCTTTCTTAATATCTGGACTTAACTTATATTGCCAAGAAAATACTATTGTGATGTTAGTTAATCTAATGGTTTGGGCTTGTGCTGGTGAAGTGTTATATCCCATTCTATTCACCAGCTGATAAGGATAATGGATCTGGTATTTTCTGGCAGGCACTTGAGGAGTTTCTCAATAACTTTGGAGGCAGTTCTTGGATTGCCTAGTGGCCCAATGGCAATAGGTATAACATGCGTGCTTGCCATAATTGCTCCTGAGGGGGTCTTACATTGGGCCAAACCTTGCTTTACTGAGCTCTGGAAAATGAAGCAGAAGCAATCCCTGGAGTGCCAGTAAAGGAAGAGAAGACTTGCTTGAGCATGGCTGTGAGCTCAGTTTAAAGCCTGCACCATATTGATAAGGGAAGCTAAGTGTCATTACTTCTCCTGAATTGGATCAAGGGGTAGTTGGCCAGCAGCTTTGTTTAGTGTGGGCAACTCCCCTCTTGGTAGAGGGCAACAGGCAGCTCTTCCGCTTGATCACTTGTGACCAATTTGCACAGCACTTTGTTGATAAAGTCACTCAACTTTGCTACCCTCTTGACTCTTCATGGGCAGAGGCCAATGCGGTGACTAGGGCAGCGTCATGCCATATTTTCTGGGACTTGGCTTTGATAAAGTAGTAGGATGCCCTAAACATGGCTACATTTGAAGACTTCTTAGAAGTTTCAATTGGCTCAAAATGTAGTTGCTCAGTTATTGGTTAGTGCTTCTCACCACAAACATATTACCCTGCTGCATTAGACCCTGCGCTGGCTTCTAGGTGCAGTTCAGAATGCCTGTCTTAACCTATGTGGCTTAGTTCTGAGGTACCTGTAGGGCAGCCTACTCCAGCCAGAACTGACCTGCCCAAGTGCTGCATCCTGGGAGAAATTGTTAGGGGTCTTCCACTTCTGTGAACTGAGAGGGGATGAAGTTCACAGGAACTTCTTTTTCAGTAGCTGCACCTATGTTAAAGAACATCCTTTCTCTGGAAATCACACATTGTTGACCTTTTGAAAATGATTAAAAACTAAACTATTTTAGAGCACCTATGGAGACTGTGATGACACCATTGAGGGATTTATGATTCTGTTATTTTATGGATCTTGTTAAATATTCATTTTCATGGATGTTTTATTTATACACTTGTTTATGTTACTTGTATTTTACTATTAACTACTGAGAGTCTGGTGTATATGAAATCAAATTAATAAAAAATCACCTACATTGAATCTCATAACCAGGCAGTAAACCAATATGGCAAATACAAAGCACCTTTCATTATAAGCAGATGTAACATAAATACTGTGATCAATTTTGATTATCACCCTCTGGTGTACAAAACACTTATAAAATAATATGTGATAGCCAAATAAGATTCAAATGAGATTCACAGGGAGAGTAAAGTTATTTTATTAAATCATGCACATCACATGTGTTAGTGCAAATAGTTCAATCTGTACTCCAGAAATTCTATTGTTTTTTTATATCTTTACAAAATAGATTTAAAACAATTATTTACTTTTAAAAATGTAATTCTGAAGTTAAGCATTTTCAGAATAATATTTGCAATAACCTATATACAAGAGGTACTGTGTACCACTGGCATGTGTGTGTTGTGGGTGAGTTAGTTTCCTGCAACTGAAAATAATGAAATGAACAAAAATGACATTTTCTATATTTGTGAACTAACATTCCCTTAAATCTAAATGATCCTCCCATTAACAAATGCCAAATAGCTTAAGATAGAACCTTTAAAATAAAAATGACCCTCAAAGGCAAATAATCTAAAAACTCTATTTAAATATTTAACTAGATTTTTTGATTGCCATTAAATCCTTGAAACCAACTGAATTTTTGTTGAGATAGTCTTCCTATGAATTTTCTATCAGCTGAATCATTTCACCTTTCAGTTCTTTTTATATTATTACAGACCTTAATAAATTGAGCTGATATGCACTGAAAACCAGCATAGCCAGGTTTAAGTTATGATTGTTCCTATACATAAGCCAATACTCAATTAGAAACATTCATATTAAGGTCAAATAAATTGTGATATAAAGTTTCTAATTACTGACAGCACATTTTTTCAGCATAAGTTGTTGCACAGAGGACCAATTAGATTATTCCAACCTTCCAGAAAGCTTGCCCAGTTTGATTTTCTTCCTCCTTTCCCTAACACTAAAAGCACTCAAGAACTTCACATAATGAAGTTATGCCAATACAAGTACAATTAAAGAAACAAATACTACTTCCCCATTTTGGTTCTGAAAATAAGTGACTGGAAAAAATCATTTCTCTAATGTGGTATGTGAGAAAATACATTGGATTTTTATAGTGTCTATATACATGAAATTTAATAAATTACATTCAAACTAAAAATTGGATTACTGCACTATGTCCATCAGAAAATCAAGATTTTGCTCCCAGAAAAACCTTAATTCACTCAGGCACACACATGCACACAAAAACAGTCTAGACTTATGCTTTTCACTCATTTTCCTTTCTAGAGCTCTTTAAGGCTGATAATGAATTATACAAGCTCCCAAGTCATCAATAAAATAGGGCTTTTACCGAACAAAAATATTTGTTTTTATCAGAAGACCTGGAAAAAAGAAAATTGTTCCCAATAGCTCAGTGACTCACAGCAAGTAAAAATAATGATATGTTAATGTACAAATAATATCAAACTGAAAGGCACTGAGCACACTGCATCGACTTCGAAGTATTTAAAGGATATTTGGCATGGGTATCCAAATCAGGGAAAATGCATTGCTTTCAATCGGGCAATCAATTTTTTTAAGTAAAATATCCACACACCTAACCATCATAAATAATTTGGTACCAAGAAGCCTACTTGAGGCCACCATAACAGTATTTAGGACTCCAACATATAATCTTAAGAATTACATAAAAGTGTAAGCAATAATATTGCTCACCATAGAATGAAATAATTATTTTATTCCCTCTTTATAACAGATACATTTTGTACAGTGTAAAGCAACGACCCTGCTGCTGCCAAACTCTGAAGGGCTAAGAGGTAAAAAAAGGGTGAGGAAGAGGATGACTCTCTGTTTCCCTCAGTGTGTGAATGATGCCAGCTTCTGGATGGAGCGTGGGGCATGGATTCTCATGGAGAAGCTCTGGTGAGGCCTGGGTACAGCACCATGGCTGTCACAGCTACCAACGCTGCCATCACAGGCATCCAAGGCCATTGTCTCTGTGCAGGAAAAAAAAGAAAAAAGAAAAGAATCAATATCTCATTTGTTTTCGTCGATACTACTTCTTTAACATTCGTGGCAAGCCTAGAATGTTTCCCATCAGTTTTAGGTTTTGAGAAAATGTTGACTGGGTATCGATTAATTAAGCATAATTTCGTTAAAAAGGCGAATTCCAATGGACACAAATTTCCATGATCTAACTTCTTTCTTGTTTCTTTTTGTGCCTTCTAGTCAGTGTGGGCTCCTAGTCCCTGTAGTTTTCTTGGCAAGATTTTCAGAAGTGGTTTGCCATTACCTTCTTTCTAGGGCTGAGAGAGGAGGACTGGCCCAAGGTCACCCAGCCGGCTTCATGCCTAAGGCAGGACTAGAACTCACAGACTCCCAGTTTCTAGCCTGGTACTTTAACCACTACATCAAACTGGCTCTCTCTTAATTTCATTAGCTTTGTAATTTCATCAGCTAGGCAACCTGCTACCCACCATGTAATTTGAACTACAATTCCCACAGTTTCTTTGTCATAAATTATGCTGCCCAGGATTAATGTGAGCTAATCCAAAGTATCTGGGATAAGGCAAGACTCCCTTTCCCTGCTTTCAAATAATGTTTCCTATTAGTTCTTTGATAATTTAATTCATTAACAGCTCTTTGGTAGTTTAATCCACTAAAGGCATTTATACTTTGCCCAAAATAAACCTAGATGAATGCCATGCCAAATTATGAATTCTTCTGAAATATCTTCAAATGCCTTGAAGCAATACATGTTAAACTTTTCTTGCCTAGATTTAAAATGAGTCAGAAATATTGCAATGTTAATATTACATGTATAATTATTCATGTCCGCTTGTTAAAACATTAACTATTATGATTATTTTATATAAATGGTCATGGTCTTACATAATTCACTGTGGAAAGTATCAGAAACCACTGCAAGATTAGAGCTGGAAATGTAAACCCTCCACCTATTGCCCTCACCTTGTCCTTCCCCCTCCATCTTCTTCACCACAATAGTGAGAAAAATAAAAAAGCATTCAAATTCAGAGAGAAATTTTGAAATTAGTTGACGGTAAAAAAGGAATTCAAGAACCAAACTGAAGCAAGCAAACATCTGATTTGCTAAGAGTGAAGTAAATAGTTCGGTTTCCTTCCAGGCCCTAACTGCAGCATCTTACATAAGACAAATGTGTATTGGAAAAGGAACAGAAAAAATGTTTACAACAGGATATTGTTAGCATTAGCACAGGGAAAACAGACAGATGTTAAATGATTAGTTTGCTTGGTTTGCCAATATTATAAATAATGGCTTATTAAATGAAGAACTGAGTTGAGTCAGGTAAATAAATACCTGCTTTTCATCATGCATTTTTTTTACAAAAATGGCACAAACAGGTGACAAGGGACGAACATACATGGACTGAATAGTGCTTGTAGTACCTTTCTCTACCACAATGGGCTGTAACACCAAAACAGGAAAGCCAGGATAAGGCCGATGAATACGGCTGGGACGGGTGGAAATATGGAAGGCTAAAGGGAAGGGAAGGGATATTAAGATCATTTTGTGCTATAAAACTCAATAAGGTAAAGATGATTTAGATAGGGGGACAGTTCAAAGATCAATTCTTCTTTCAACTGAAACATAAAGACATCCAACAAGACAGAACTACTTTGGTATACAAAGTTAGTACACCACTGTACAAAGTAAACATGGATAATGAAAAATGAAACATTATTTTTCTTGAGTCCTTTCTTGTCACATGGAATTTAGGACAAAATGAGGATCGAACTCCTTTTACACTGCAGAAGGATTTCCTAGAGCAGCCTTCCTCAACTGGCTGGACGACTCCCTTCAGAAATGATGGACTTTAACTTCCAACTCTCTACCCAGCAAGTCCAACATATTTGGAGGGTGCTAGGTTGGTGAAGGCTTCCCTAGATGACAGAGTGCTGTATATTTTACATATACAAGTGCCAGAGTTTCACCCATACTCAATGGAATCCAGGAAATTCAAATACCAATCCAGAGTTCTGTCCATAAAGTACTCTTCCTCAAATATACCTTTCTCTTTACCAACTTACAACTGTAATAAAATACAAACTCTGTAGTCATTTTATTGATGGAGGTTACCTTACACAATTTTTTCTTATATGCATATCATTTCCAAGAAAGAAAATGTATCCTCAAAGGCAAACAATATCCATTGTAAAGAACACACATATATATTTGATTTTGTATAGCTATATGTGTTCTTCATAATGATGTCTCACTGTGTAACTGGAACTTTGATAATACTTTTTTGTGGACTAAACATTAAGTATTTGTATTAAGTTATGCAAAATACTTTTCAATGGGGAAAAGAACAACACATCATTTTCACATGCAATCTTCTTTCACTGTGTACTATTTTAATCTAAAATTCTGTTAGCATCTATTCACCCAAATCAAATAGGAACTAATTACTCAAGGTGACTTGGGGCTGCAGCAATGTGTGAAACAACTGCACTCCAAAGTTTTCTTCTGAATCAGTGACTCTATCATGAGTCTCATTAATAAAGTTTCTCATTATAAATAATGAGATATAAATAATTATTATAAATAAAAAAGCAAAGACTTCCTAAGTCAAGCTCAATTCTTGGCTGACTATAGAGACATATCCATGTACTTTTCTTGGAAATAATACAGAATTAGTTTGCCATTGCCTTCTTCTGGGATTTGTGTGTGTGTGTGTTTTCAATCTAGCCCAAATTCTGCATGGCATCTAATACCAACTAGGACCTTATTGGCTAGTAGTCCTTAGATTTTTCAAGATCAATTATAGGTAATTAAGAAGCATAATGGGATATTTTGCTCAAAATGAAGATAATGGGAAAAACATGGCATTCAGGCAGTGAAAAATAACCTACACTATACACTGCATTACTTTGCCAGCAGTGAATATTATATAGTCCTAAACATACAGAATGGAGAAAATCAGGTTGTGTGCATCCAAACTACATGAAAAGCAAAGGTACAACACAACAACTCTATATTTTAATTCTATGCTGTTAAGGGCAATTCTCAATATTTACTGGAGGTCCAAATTCCTAATTCTACAATTAGCAGATTCTTATGACTTAATAACCCAGTTTTGTTAAGGTATGTTCATATATTATTAGTAGCCTCATAAAAATGATCCATTTACAAAATTTGCCTCCATATCTTATCAGAACAATAGGCAGGTAAATGGAAATTATGGATGATAGTCCTAACTGCAAGACCTGCATGAGGCAGTAGATCAACTAAGAAAAAATACTGCCAGCAAGTTAATTAGTGAAAAATATTTTGGCAACAAGATATGCTTCACACATTTAGCTAGTGGAAATAACATACACTTATGACTAGGTATATGCAGTGTTTTGGAATGGGTGCAGGCATGCACATAGCATCAGTTTGGTCTCCTTAAAAAAACTGCCATTTTTCCTGGGGTCACTTGGTAACCACTGAATCTCTGGAAAATACATATTTGAGTGAAGGAGCACGCTCTGTCTCCCAAACTTCTATCTGCACCTTGTCAGAGCTTCCTTAGCCTACATATACATTTACTGGATTTGTGAAGCTACCATGCAAGTCCAGGAAAAAATACAGCTTCTTCAAAGAGGTACTTACACGTATGGGATGCGCATCATGTCCAATCCAGTGGAACTCTACAGGTGCTGTTGTTTATGTTGCCAAAACTTTCTTAAACATGCAGTGCAGATTAAAACATCAGTTTTCACAGATACGTGAAGTGGCCCATCTCTAAAAATACTGACCGCTATTTTGGGAGTCTAGTTTGCCTTCTGGTAAATGGGCATCTAATTCTAGCTACACCCGCTGCATCAGTCATTCTGTAAGCATACCTATCACGTGCTCTCAAAATTCCAACTTTGCCTCTAGCTGAAAAAATTTGCCGACCACCTGCTTTATGATACAATGGACCATATAATTGTTAAATGTTTATGTTTCAAACTGTTTTGAGAATGTCCCCAGTAAAAGAGCTACCAATAAGCAATTTAGTAAAGATATCAGTTTTAAAGAACACACAAACATATTTGAGTTTGTGAACCTGTATCTGTTCTTTATACAGTGTTGCCCTCTTGTATAATCAGAACTTTGAAAATGCCTTTTTGTGGAATAAAACTTCCAGTTATGCAAAGTATTTTTCAGTAGGCAAAAGAGCAAATTGGTTGCTTGATCAAAAGTACAAGCTTATTAGGACCTTGGTGTTTTTTCCACCATTCTACAAGATATACTAGGATCAACAGCAGGTTAGAATATGGATGATTCTACAGTTTTCATAGTGAAATATTCCAGGCATCACTAGGACTAAAATCTTATATTGCTACCTTGGTTAATTTAAACTGATTTAAAAAAAAAAAAACTGTAGCTTTCTTGGAAATTCAAGGTCTGTTCCTTTCAATATTAGCAAGCTAGTTCAGATGGCAATTATAATATGTATACAAAGTGAGATGTCTTTATTGGCCAAACTATTAGCATATAAGGGAACAAAAATTGGAGGCTAATTAAATCATGCCTAAGGAAAAGCATGATTTTCAAGCCTCAGAATTAAAAGTTTGCAGGGGCAAAAGGCGGGTAGTGAGAACCGATGAGTTTCTCAATCTCCTTTTGTACCTCCATCTCTTTAATTCCAACCTTATTCAATGTAATAGAAAACTTTTTTTGTTCCTGCAAAATGGGTACTCTACATCAGATTGTATTGAGAAGGGAAAGGGAATATTGTGGGGAAGTAGGAGGGAAAGTCACTTTTTGGAGCTTTCTAATTGACTAGGAAAAAAAATTCAATTTTTGGATAATTCATGGACAACTGAAAGTTACTTTCTTAATGCTCTATCATCTATATCCAGGAAAGTATGGGCCAACAGCTTTCATGTATATCTCATACACACATTCTCAGAGTGGAAACAAAATAAGATCTGGCACACACAGTCTTTATTGACTTACATTGTTTCCTTTTTCTTGAAGTAGCTTCAGGTTCTCTTTACACTGCTTAAGTTCATCGGTGACTGATTGCTTTTCCTGCTCAGTGATTTCAAACTTTAACTTCAGCTCTGAAAGCATGGTCTGTGTCTTTTCATACTAAAGGAAATAACAGGAACAACAACAACAACAAAAATGTTTAAATTTTAGAAATAAGTTAAAAACAACTTCTGAATAAATTCTTAATCCTTTAAGAAATTATTACACTCTATTATAATATAGGGATTTGGTATAAGAGTTTAGATGTGTGTGCACATGTTTTATAAGTAAGTATATGTTAGAAGAGGAGGTCTGGATAAAGGCAAATTCAAGAATGCATTCTCAATAGCCTTCATGAAGACAACTGATTTACCAGTGATCACTGAATAAGAACTATCCCAACTGTTCTGTTTTTAGAGTTGCTGGGAGTTGGGGAGCGTACAAATGTAATACATTAACTATTATTTTATTATTATTAAAAGGAAAAGTGACAAAAAGACAATAAAAACATTTCTTTGACCACAACTAGATCTTGCTTTTTTTTTTTCTCCCCAGCAGGTGGTGAAAAGTGATGATGTCACTCATTAACTGGTAGAAACTAAGAAAAGTGGGATGGCAGACCTGCAGATTTTGATAGTCAGAGATTTGCCATAAGTTAATTGCTCAAACAAAACTAATCACTTAAATATACTCCATTTAAATATAATATTACTATAGTTCTACTTTCTACTAACTGACCAGAACTATAAACCTTCATTTCAAATATGATTTTCTATTTTGAAGATAACTCAGCAAGAGAAATAATTCAGTAACATTGATTGGACTGTTTTACAATAAATTCTCACCTTTCCCAGACTAAAAAAGCATCAGTTCAAGATGTGCATTCCTACAATCAAATTCCTGAAAAAGTTAATATTTAATCTAATATAATTAAACCTAATCTAAATATAATTGCCTAGGAGGCTTTTCTGCCAAAAATACAAAACTGCAATAAACTTGGCTTATTTCTTTCTGAGATTGGGTTTCAGTTCAATTTGCAGCCAAGATATTATCCTAACCAAAAAACTCCATATCTTTGGATTTGATTAAGACATCCTGCAGAAATCTCATGTAAATCTCATTACATTGTTATTAACCCTGTGAAAAATCTCATGCTTATTGTGGAAAGTAAAAATACAGCCATTCCTACAATGCTTGAATCAAAGACAAAAAATCAAGTTTAAGTGATAAAACAGTTAACAGCTTTCTTCCTGAAACAGAACACTTTCATTCAACTAAAAACGTTTAGATTATCTCTGATATTTATCAATGTATTACAAAAACTACGATTCATTTATTCTTTGCTGGCATGTCACCAACTGATCATGCAAAATATAAAAAAGTGAAGATGATTTTGTCCAGCAAATTATTTTTCAGGTACTGTCATTCAAAACACAGTCATGAGAATATTAAATAGCCCTGCACCAACATCATACTTTAGCTACTCTAAGCACTGCAACATGCACCGGCTCTAATTTGAATGGGTGGCTCACTGAAAGACTACAATGTAAGTAGCAATGTTATTCCTCTGGCCCCCACTGTTGATTTTAATGCAGCAATATTTTTGTAAAGTATGTTGTATTATTTTGGAAATAAAACTGGGGCATAAATAATACCACTATTTACAATACTTTAACAATAAAGAAATATCATTAAATGTTTCCTATTTAGATATCTTTAACACTTTTGAAAACAAGAAAAAAATCAGTATAACCATATATGTTTTACAGAATGGAAGTGTAAACAGAAGAACAAGGAGGAACAGTGCCACAGAAGGAGAGTCACAGATTGAGGGTTTGTTTGTTTTTTAACAGAAGGGAACATCATGTAATTTATTTAGCTTAAGAAAAATTTCTGGTTTTAAACTAAATCTGTAGCTAAGTAAGTATGCAATTAATTACATTACATCCCTAAAAGAGTATAAAAACTGAAAAATCTGCTCCATTTTCTTATTCTTAAGGATAACATTCTATCAAAGTAATTATTTTCCATTTTCAAGGGTCACATATTTCATCAATGCTTCATTCATTTCTATTCTACAGGGTTTTTATTTGATAGGATTCTTATTAATTTCCAACAGAATAAATAGAAAGTAGATATAAGAATATATGATGTGGAAACTGCTTGGAACAGAGTGGCTATGCGACTTGTCTAACAAGAATACATCCAGGCTTGATGATTGGAAGGATGCTATTATTCTTCCCTTTTGCAAAAGGAACAATAAGAACAGTGAATACAGAGTTATTTGTTTGTTAAGCGTTCTGGAAAGTGGTTTGGCAAAATTCTTGTTGAAAGGGTAGAAGAGCAAAGTTTCGGAACTGTGGTTCAGGGGATGTACAAATCAATTTTTGGTTTTTCAACAAATTGTTAAGAAATGTTTCAATGTACAAAAGAAAGTGTATTTCATGTTTGTTGATTTAGATAAAGTATATGATGAAGTGAATAGGACTAAATTATAGAAAATTTTGCACAAATGGGAAGTTGATAGTTTGTTGCTGAATGCAGTAACAGCAGTGTATGATCAAAGTAAAACACATACAAGAAAATATTAAATGCTTAGTGAAGCAACAGTGAGGAGGGATATGTGATTTCTCCTTGGTTGTTTAATATATTTAATGCAGACACCCATGCTTTATGCCTAAGCGTTTTATGTAAAGCAGACTTTTATCATATTTAAAACAGTACGTGGCTTACTGTACTGAATAACCCAGACACTAGCTATATTTCTCTGTTTAATGAAATAAACAATTGTATTTAACTGAATATTGAAACAAAAGTTTCCAATCCCCTGCTCAGAGAAATGCTGGGAGAGAAGAGTGGTGGAGGTCCAAGCTCAGTTTTATTGAGCTACTGCATGGTTCCTTATTACATTCAATTTCATCCAATGAAGGGACCAATGTTAGGAGAACAAAATAGTATAAACATCCTAACTGGACCTTTTTAAAGATATACAAGCATCCATATAGTCAATTTGAAACTTACCTCATTCAGAGCATCCTTAGCTTGATTTTCTGCCTCATTAAGAAGTGTTTTTAGAGTAGCTGCATCACGCTGATGTTCTTCTTTTAAAGAACCCATCTTATTTTCAAGTTCCTTTCGGCTTAGCTCCAGAACACTCAGATCACTGGTAAGTGCTAAACTCTGTTGCTGAGAGCTATAAAAGAAATAAAAAATCACAATACTTCATATTTAGAAATTAGTGTTTTAATGCATTATCAATTTATGCTCTTTCTAATCATAGTATTATTCTATTGCATATCCTTATAATTAAAGTTCTGATGTACAGGCATACTGTGTACAAAAGAAGACATAAATTTCCATACAAGTATGAATTTGCGACAGCAGTATAAGTAAATATTTTCCAATTAGCTCAAAACACCAAAAAACAAACAAACCCCAACACTTAATATTTAAACTAAAGTTTATGAAGTTCACTTGTTTTAACAATAAAGGCAAAATTAACCATGGCTTAAAATGTTGTTAGCATAAACTGGTTAACCTAAAAACAAAACTAAAACTTCCAGTTTCTTCCTCATAGGCACTGGAGGAAAAGAGAAGGAAAATGAGTAAGCCCAAGGTTCATTTTCATAATATTAAGGCAATGTTTACATAAAATAAAACCAGCTGGGAATTGGGAAGAGGAATGATATGGGCACCCATCTGTGTATTTCCCAATGTAGAAGGCCCCGTATAATTAACTATACTTCTTCCTGTTAGCTCACTGAGGTGGTTGAATACAAAGAGGATTGTAGCTAAAGCAGGTGAATTGAACAAGAGGGAAGACTGCAACGTTTACAAGAAATAGAAAGAAATCCCTAAGAACTAACACTTAATTCAGGACATACTGTTTTACAAGTTCAACATGTTTGCCCTTATCCCATTTGATTCAGCAGCACTTACTTATGTAGCTCCTTCTCCCGTCGCTGAAGTTCACATGCAAGCAAAGAATTCTCCTTCTTTAATGAGAGACATTCAGATTGAAGAACAGTCCACTCCTCTCTCAACTTTTCAAGTTCACCTACAAAGCAAAGAATGCTGTGTTATTCTTGAAGCTAGGGATTTTAACTTTGGACCCAGCTTCCTTTCCTAAACTTGTGATGTACAGCTGTGGATAGTAGAAATCCCTCAAATTACGTGCTTCATTAACCAGGGTAAAGAACTATAGAAGTAGATTGGGTACTGTATGAAACCCTAAAATTCCTCAAGTCCACCAGTGTCTTTGATGTAACTAAAATTCAAGTATTTACTCATTATCTCAATTTCTATAATTGTTAACCTAATTTTTGTTAACTTAAAAATACAAGGCACCGAAAAAACACTCTTTATATACATTATTAATAAGACATTTGTGCTATACCTTGTAAACGGGTGGCTTCCTCTCTCTGCTGATCCTCACATTGCTGACATCGTAGCTGAAAACTGGCTTGCAGACTGACAATTTCTTTTTCATATTTGGAAGCCTCTTTACGCCATCGTTCAAGCTCAGCTCTTACTTTCTGAAGCTCTTCTTGTAAAACAGTGACATCTGTGTCCCTTTCTGACGCAGCCTTTTCTGCCACTTCTTGCAACAACAGGATCTCATTCTGAGCACTCATCAATTCATTCCGAGTACTGGAGATCTCATTTTCCTTTTCTTCATGAAGACGTTCAATATCTTTTTGTAGTCGATGCAACTGAGCTATAAACATTTATTAGAAATTATATTATCTTAAAAATTTAAGTACACAAATTCATGTTAGTCAAATATAACTGTAAAAACATTTTTATGAAAGTAATACTACTGTACAGGATGAAAGAAATGCTTGCATTACATTACTATATTGTAGCATACATTTTACTCAAACAACTTTATAAGTCAACACCTCTCATTGTTATGTTTGAAATAGCTAAATAAAATTAGAAAAATATCAAATAAACCTACACAGATTCAAAATTATGTAAACTGGAAGACTCCAAGAGGCACTTCTTGAGGGGATTTTTGAGGTTTATCATCATATTAGGTTTATACATTTATCACAACATTCCTCTAAGTTTAGATCTGTATCTTGGAATCTATCTTCTTGTGTAGATATACCCCTAGATAATATAGATTAAAAGGGATACCAATCCAGCTTTTAAAATTCTGCTGAATGGAAAGAGACAATCAGAATGCACTGGAAACAGAGTGTGTTTGAAGATAGCTCAGGTACTTATAGTGTCACCTTGTCCTGCACTTCCAGAAAGCAATAGCACTTGTTGCAACCCTTCCTCCTTTATAGCTATGTTTATCTATTTAAATAACACTTTTGTTTGCTTCCACAGCAACCAATCTCCTGTAATTTATCTGTAATTATTAGAATAAATGAAGAGCTGCTACTTAAGGAGAGCAAATATTTATATTTGTAATCTCTTTATTGTTCTTAAACTACAATCTATTGGGAATAAAGGCTCTCAAGCAGCTATGTATTTTATTTTGCCTTTTGATTTGATATAAAAATGCATTGATAGAAGTGGGTGTAGCTGTGAAAAAGTGGGGTAGTAGTGATGCTAGTTGTTTTTTCTCTCACACACAGTATGCCAAGAAAGGCAATAAACTAAGTCTACATAATGTCTTCCCAAAGTTTACTGACCACGAATGGAAATATACTCCCAAAGAAAAAGAACTACTATAAACCTAATTAAAAGAGAAAATCTAAAGATTTATTCCAGTAGGACTGATTTTTATAGGAATTATAGAAAGAAAGATGTGCACTCAGCATTATTATGAGGATAGTACATCTAAAAGGGCCTTAGACAATCAGGAAGATGAAAACTGGAAAGCTTTGAATAAAGCAATTCTGAACAAGAACAGGTGGACACAGAATTAGACCAGACTAAGAATTGTTATTTTTAAAATGAAAACTTTGTGTTACTAACTTTTTGACCCAGATTCAAATTCTCAGCTGAAGCAAATATTATGCTACAAACCTGACAGTGTTCTCTTATAGTGCATTTTTTTAAAGATTAAGCAGTTTCATATTTACTCTAAAACATATCTAAAACATATGCTTTTTTTCTTAATTACATCTAACAACGTTTAAGGAAATAATCTATTTTAATCAGTGCTTTAAATAGAAAGTTGATAAATATTTTGAATAAATACCATATTCATATAATGATCTAGAAGAATTACATACTAAGATGCTAATTCAAATTAATTATGATTAAATACTATTGAAACCAATTAAATATGTTGGCCCAACTGAACTGCTCTAGTGCTATTAGTTCTAACTATATTAGTAATGACTAAGGTTTTATGTGTTAACTATTACTGAAAATGGAAGAATATAAACAACCAGTTGGTGTTATCCCAGCTGGAAAACCTGTCGTGATTACAGAGAATTATATTACACATTATTTCATGTATTTTCTGGCACTGTGTAACAATTTTTTTTATTTGCGTTAAGATTAATTTTAGATGATTATATTTCCGACTGCTTTGCTTGGTTTTTGATTTTAAATTATTTTAATTATTCTGAGAGTGGGAATTACGTTGAGAGCCAGAGTGTCACAGTGCAAAAATGCCAATTAGGGCAACAACCAATGGTCAACTAGCTAAATGGTCTAAATGAGTAAATGGCACTTTTCAAGCGTGAAGAGTGCAAAAGAAAACTAACAACCTGTTAAGAAAAATAGAGGAAAAAAAGCATCATGCATGAAACTATACTGTCCTCTGACAGAGGGCAATCAACTATTTATAATGGCTTCATCCTAGTATGCAATAAAGGTTGTTATCAAGCTTTGTCATGGAGAATGTCTGGGGAACTTCTGCTAATCTAAAAACAGGGCACCTGACAGCCAGTGCCACTGTGCAGGATAGGCATGACTCCTCTTCTGGAATACCCTCCTATCAAATATAAGAAATGTACCATCTGTCCTAGTATTCAGGAAGTTTTTAGAAACAGCTTTTTAAATGTGCCCTTGGGGACCGAGTTAGGATGAATAAGATGTTATGGGTGTATAGTATTAGAATTACATTGAACTATGTCTCTTCTATTGCTAATTTTGATAGTATTTATTATAATTATTTGATACTTCAATAATTTTGAATTGTTGCAATATGCTATATGTATTCTATATTTTGCTGTAAACCATTTAAAGGTTACATGACTGAAGTGCCATAGAAGCATTTGCAATAAATAATCACATAATAAGGACATGTACATGTCATGCACAAACAACACCAGTAATAGTATTGTTAGGCAGATTTTTAGAGGGTATCTGCAATAACAGCATATATGTGAGGCAAACATTCATTTGAATCATCCTTAAAAAGTAATCTCATTCATATAAAGTAGTAGTTTTTATGTCCTATAACTGACAGCAGTTAATTCTACCAACCATTTTAGCACCAGACATTTCATTCTACTTTAAGAAGTTTGTATGGAAAACGATTATAATTTTTTTTCTTTTCAATGCATATGCATATGCATTTTTTCTTTTATATTTTTTATCTAACTCTGAATATTTTTTTTTACCTTGGAGAACTTGAATTTGTTTGGTGGACTCTTCAGCTTGCAATCGATAGGCTTTTCTCTCTTCTTCCAACAGAGCTGTAGGTATTATGAAAATATTCAACATATCATTTCATTATGTCTTCCATTATCAATTTTATCCATTAGATATTAGTTTTTAAACAGGTTACTTAAAGTTTAGTATGTAATTAAAATTCTGCCATAACCAATGTAAGTAAATTGCCATATTTAAATTATTAACTGTGCTACTTGTTAATAAACTTTGTCTAAAATTGTTTAAGATATTGTGCACTCATTGCATTCACAATATGACTCTACTTTGAAAATGAAACTGACTGTAAGGAAAGTGACTGATTCAATTTTAATCGCTTAAGCTAAACATTTCAACTTAAACCAAAATGCAATACTGTACATGTCTATTCTGACTTAACCCTGCTGAGTTCAATGGGACTTATTCCCAATTAAGTGCTGATAAGATAGCAGCCTTTTCCCCCTTTGCTGAAAGTATGGTATAAACATATACCATGCATCTAGATTAAAAATTATCAGACCACAGACTTAAATGCCCTTTTTAATCACTGTATCGGGGCATAACATTTTCCTGGGAACTCTGCAGATTCAAAGGACTCTTCATCTCACCTTGCAATTCAAAGCATTTTTGTTTACTGGTTCTAGCTAGCTCTTGGGCTTCAATCAGTTCGTGGTGCAGTTGCTGAATTTCCTGTTTAGTCTCAGTTTCTGATTGTGCACCCTGCAATTCATCTGCTAAAAGAACATTTTTCTTTAAAGCATTACTTTTGTCAGTAGCTTAGCTTCTATTCTTTGTGAAGTAATAGGAATCAGATAAAGTTAGTTAACTATACATTCTGAATTAGGGAAAGGTTAGGAGACAAATAAAATTCTGTTAGAAAGACAAGTATCTATATACCAAGTCATACAAGAAGGACTAAAATATAAATTAGCACGAACAGGTTACTGATTCTAAACAAAACATATTTAGTAGTCTTAATATTTTAAATGTAAACAGCTTTTCATAAATATGTTTCAAAATAATTCTAATACAACTAATATTTCATCTCAGATTTTTTCATAGTTTATTAATCAAGAATGAAGTACAATTTAAAAGGGAAAAACCGGTATTGGACTGACAGTTATCACTTTTGCTAATTCCTTGACACAACACAGTCTTCATTCATGAGAGGTGAGGATAATGAAACCTACTCTGGACCTTCTCCCCTAAGGACCAAAAATATTGTACCAATATTAATAAGCTAAAGTTAAAATAATTAATTTGATTTTAAAAAATACTTAGTAATCAGTGTTAACACGATCAAATAAATGACATAGAGTTCTCTGTGCATTTCAGATCACAGGAAAAGTGACAACCATGAAAAGATGATATACCAGTTTATGCTTCAGTGTTAAAAGCATTTAAAGTAGAAAAGACTAAAAATATATATATATATACCGAAATATTGTGGTAAATAACCTACAACAAAAAGGCTTGCACACATTTTACTAAAAGGACTAGCCACCTGTAAAATTATTATTATGCAGCTAAAAGGAATTTTTAAACTAATACAGGAAAAAAAAATCCCCCAATGGAAGAGTTCAAATTACTTCTCAGATCATTCTAAGAATTCCTTTACTTTAAGCTATAAGAAGAAAAGGACTGTTTTAGAGCTCTCTGTAGTTAAGGTTAACAGACCATCCAAGTATGCATTTGCGGACTGGATCACGGACCCAAACCACAAAAAATTAATTTCTGCCATATGTCAAGATTACTAAGCCAAATTGGTGTTATCTCCTTAACAATAGGACAAATTTCGTGATTTTGGATACCTATTGATGGTAGTCAGCAGCATGAATTCATTTATACAGATGCATACTAATTCCTTTGAGTCTCGTGACACCTTAAAGATTAATACATTTATTAAGAAATAAACTTTCATGTTTTTCAGTCCACTTAATCAGATGAATGGAACAGTACATACATCAATACTCCATATACCTGATTAAGTGGACTGAAACCCATGAATTACATAATCCATGCAAAGGGGAAAATACAGGCACAACAGAGCTCCTTGTTTCATCTTTCTGCAGCAACTAACAGGGATTATTTAAATTCGAGAAATGGTCCGCAGATTAACCTCCTTCTTGCAACAGCAAAACCCCATTCCATCTGGCCACTCCCAATTCTGCAGTAGCTTTAAGGTAAAGCCCACAGTGTACTGAGTATCCATTCAGAATAGTCATTTGCTTCTGGTGAAGTGAAATGGTCCATCGCTTGATCTTGTAATCTCCATTCCCCCATTTTTCCTATAATATTCCCAGACAGACTGGGCTACTACCAAACACACTAAGAGAATCCAACACAGTCCTGCAATACTTTTAGTACATGAATGCAGTTCACCAATCTGTACAACTGAATATACTCCATTAAGTTAATCTGAACCTAGACAAGACTCATGTGCAAGAAATATAAAAGCAAAGTTCATGACATCATGGTAAGCCATAATGTGTGGATTTAGTCACTGTGGTTTGTAAACCATAGTTTTATAGCAGAAATGGACAATCTGAAGCTCCAAGGTCAACAGCAGCCTTTGTAAGCAGCCTCCTGGGATCTTAACAGTTATAAACAAAGAGTAACTTTGTATGTGACAGAAATCAAACATTATAAAATACATGGCATGTTTAACTTTAATTAAATGTCATTTGAAATAAATTAATTTTTAAATGAGTCTAAAAATTAAGATCTTTTCTCAGTCCAACCCACTCCTTTATGGTGTGATGCACCTACAGTCTATTCAAAGTGTAGCCTTTCATCTGGAAGGAGTTGCAAATCTTTAGATTATAGTTTAGTGAAAGAGTCTCAAATTTATAGCCCGCAGGCTATATGCATACAAATAATTTTATGCTAGTCACAATAATAGTCAGGTCTTTGTATTCACATGGACTACAGGCGACATTTCCTAAATGCTTACAGAGATCCCTAAAGTCAAGTCAGAATAGCCTAACTCAGTCACACAACACACAAAGGTCACAAGCCATCCTACTTGGATGACGCTTACTGCGAAACTGAAAATGCATGTGCCCCTTAGGATGAATGCAGCAACCAGCAGCCACATTTAATATACATTTTGCAACTACCACCACAAACACACAAATCTGAGAATACAGATCCCACGAGAATAGAGACCCAACCGTACTTGGTAAACACTTAATACACTGCTAAATAAGGCCAGCTCACTGATGAGTTGATCTAGTGGGTATCCCGGCAGCAGTACGGCTTGGGCAGGTAAGTTGAACAGTCTGTGCTTAAAAAGCATCCTGATAAGTGGCTGTTGCTAAATATATGAGAATTTTAAAAACATAAGAATATTGCCATCTACGTGTCTTTTGTTATATTAAAATAGATAGAAATTAAATTCTCACTTCAACAAGCCTAGGAAAAATGTCTTCACCTACAAATATTTCACTTAATATATCAAATAAAAATAATGCACTATGACTGCAATCATGTGCAAAGTTAAAATTATAGTACAAGGTGGACTGAACTTAATTTGTTTCTCTACTGGATTCTACTATACATTTCACACATAGATAAAGTAGTGGTTTATGCTTTAGCAGGAGTCATCAAAGGCAAATTACAGAGAGCAAAACAAACTTTTCAGTCCATGTTTTCAACTACTATTAATAATCCAATATTAAGTTATTTGCAAATTAAAACATGTTAAATATTAGGAAAACAATAATTTACCTTTTAAGAGAGCAACTTTAGCAATAGGTTCATTTAGTTCATGATCATCCATCTGAGCGTCTAAAAAAAAGTGAAATTATTTTAGAATTAGGAATAATACATTTAAATCAATTAGAAATTCAGCACAGGGCAAAAATGTAAAAATTCACCTGGATTACAAAATTAAGCAGCTGTTTTAAATGAAGATTATTTTTTGAAATTTTGCTTTTAAAAAAGTTTCATTACAAATTGTCACTGTAATCCAAGTTGACTGAAAGATATGCCCCAACCATACCTGTAGTGTCGTCACTGCTTTTCTCTTTGCTCGGGCTCAGAGTATCTGAAAGCTCAGCTTCTTTAGCTTTTGCCTGATTTTCTGTAAAATATAAACACTAATTCCATTCAAGTATATGTGTATCTGTGTGCATACTTTCACCATATATTCAAACAGTAATTCTCTTGTTCCAACTGGATTAAATGTCTTCAGATCATACATACAGTACTAAACAAACCCACACAGGATGTAGTTGGTTCATACATTGCTTAGCCTTTTGTCTGAAACTTGTACTTTGGCCAGCTAGAATCCACTGAAAAATTAGTTGTTTTGTTTACTATTTCTGAGAGCAAATCAAGAAAGAGGGATAGGGAAAACAGCTTATAGAACAATGCATATATTGTAACATGTTGAAAAGAAAAGAGTTATTAGGAATGAATGCTGCTTTGTAGCACTGAAGTGGATAAAGTAACAATAATAAGTTGATGCATTAAGTATAGTGCCATGATATTTCAAACGACACAGAAGTTAAAATAAAATGCTTTAAAAAGCCACTGGTAGGAAATCTACTCTTTCTCCATTAGTTTCTTGATGAGCTATTAATTATATCCTCTGATCCATCTACAAGTATTCGTATTTGTATAATGAGCTTCAAGGCTTTACAAATCTATTACAATTGACCAAAATCTGACATCAGGAAAGAAAAAGGGAATTTGATTAGGAAAATGTTTAATCTTTCATTCAGCAAACTCATTTTTAAATTATAATTAATATATTGCAAAAGCTTAATATTAGAGACATGCCACATTCAAACAACAAAACAGAGCCAAATAGCAGTGAAGCCTCTACCAGCTGGTGGAATGTATTAAATAGAAAATATTCAAAATCTAACTTCACTACAATAATTTTGGAGAGAATAACTATAATTTACCATTTACAGACTAATTCTTTTTAGGCTTTAGCAAGTTAGCAAAGTAGCTCCTCTGTTCCTGTTTTTTTATAGCTACAGATATTTTCCCCAGAAAATCCTTTACTCTATTAAATATATCCCAAATATATTTATTAGATTTATATCCTGCCTTTTGTATAGGACCCCAAGGAATCGAACCTGCTATTCCCGCCTCCCATTTGTGAAATAGCTTGGGCTGAGAGGGAGAGGTTGACTCAAAGTTGACAAAATTTATACTGAGCTTCTGTGGCTGAGAGGGGATTAGAACCTGGGTTTCCCTATTCCTAGTGCAACCCCTTAACCATACCACCCCCACCCTCTCAAACACACACAATATATAAAAAATGCACACACTGACATTAAAGACAGAACTGGTAGAAATCAGATGAATACTGAAGAAAACTCTTTTGACATAGATCTGGGCAAATATGGTAATTTGCAAATCTGAAGACCTTTTCACTGTATGAGTCACAATCATATGAGTTAGGTGAGGAAGAAAATTTTATTATGACAGCTAGAAGATTAATGGCCATGTTCACAAAACAAACTATTTAAAGCATTTAGCTGTGAATAATGTGAATTACCACTTCTCTAGTACTGAACACATGAATTCTTTTAAGCAATCCTTAGTCCTCATTTAAAGCCAAGTATTTTCTAATTTTAATCCCTTGATTTCTGTGCCTCTTCTGCCTTTTGCTTTCATTATTGCCTTCTTTTTCCTCTGACCTGGTTCAACTTTAGATCTTATAGTGCAACAAGCAAAAGGGGTTTTTTTTAGACTTTTTAATCCCACCTTTATTATTTTTATGAATAACTCAAGGTGGTGAGCATACCTAATACTCCTTCCTCCTTCTATTTTTCCCACAAGAACAACAACCCTGTGAGGTGAGTTGGGCTGAGAGAGAGTGACTGGCCCAAAGTCCCCCAGCCAGCTTTAATGCCTAAGGTGGGACTAGAACTCACCGTCTCCTGCTTTCTTGCCTGGTACATTAACCACTAGACCAAACTGGCTCTCTTCTCTCATATATTCACTCATAATTCAATTACTGTATTATCATGGACATATTATTCAAGTCCTTCCCCCAAATATAAGCTATGTGTGGATCTTATAAAGAATTCAGGCTAGCAGTGGAATATACGTTTTGTTTTTTTCAGCACTTTTAAATTGAATTGTTTATAGGGAGTGTGTTTCTCTAGAAGATGGAGTTATAACTGACATGCTTCTAAGCAAACACACTAAGTTAGCTCTCTATTTTCCAGACCTCTCGAAGCACTGGGATGCAAATTAGAAAAACTTAATTTCACAGAAAGATCATCAGACCACAACAATTTACACTCCATTAACATTAACGTTAGTTTACTGTAATATATTATACATGACAGAACATTTTAAGAGTATTTAGAAGCTGCAACTGGTATAAAATGGAGCTGCCGATTTTCATTATTTCCAATACTGGAAAAAGTGCACTTAACACTTTTAAAGCCCTGAATAACTTGTACCGGGATCTGGAAAATATAAATGGCCCCCTTTCCTCCCCATATAATGCTCCCTGCTGCGGGTTCAGAAACCCTTCTCTAGGTTTCTTCACTACTGGAATTAATTGGACAATTACTAGAGAGAATTTTCAATGATGACACCGTAATTGTTTAAATTCTTCCTTTGTACTTGCTTGATTATCTTTCAAGCATCAACCCAAGCTTACCCTTTTCATTTTAATGGTTTTTGAGAAGGCCCAATTACTGATACTCATTCATTTGATGTTTTAAATTGCTTTTATTCTTTCTTTTCTTTTTTCAAATTGTATTTATTTACTTGGTTTGTTTGGGGATTGTAAGCAACCTGGGGATTTTTGCACCATAAACTATAATTAAAATGGGGGGGAGGACTACTACTCTTAAATTCCATTATTGTATTAAATTATTTTACTGCAAACAAGTTCAAAATAACCAGAAATGCTACAAGGTTCCTTGCTTGCCCATTACTTTGAAAATGCTAATGTAAATGTGTTTATGTAATTGGGTAACTGATACTTCCCTATATGGAAATAAAAGGGACTACTGGTCTCTCAATATACACTAGTGATGAGTCATCTAAGACAAAGGCATGAAAAATAGCAGATCACCATAACTGTATTTAATTTCCTTCCACATTTTCAATAACCCTTCCCAATTCTGATTTGCAGGATTTACAATCCTGAACAATAAGAAAAAATAATACTATTTGTACTTCAGCAACAGATAAAGCTAAAAAGCAATATAATCAGCTAATAAGGATGCTAAGAAGAGAGTTTAAATTATCAGAATTCTGTGTTGCTAATCTAGTAGAGACTTTTAATCTCTGCCCTATGATTCAACTTTCAAAGATCTGAGCTTGAGTCTAGTTTTCAGTTACAACTCACAAACTATTTTATAGGAAGTTAAAGTCTATACAGAGTCTTCTTAGAAGCCCAAATAAAAACTCAAGAATGAACCCAGAAATTTAATAAATGTTACTGCACTGTACCTTGCTAAACCACATCACTGTGATACCCATTACTATAGTATAAGAAGATTCAGTCCTCCACCCAGTTACCAATATTAAACTTAAGAGAATAGCAGTCTCTCCTACAAGGTCAGTTTATCTACTGACCAGCAGCATATCTTCAAGATTTTGGATACAGAAGCTTCTCATCACTCAGAGATGACCAATTTCTTTTTAAGAAGAGAGATCTGGCATCTAATGTATTTATATGGAAAAAATGAGTTTTGCCTATTAACCTAAAAACAATTCGTTTTACGTTTCATATATTAACATACTAGTTATCTTATTTACTAATTTAATATCTATCAGGGAATCATGTTCATAATATACTTTATTCTGTTTTATATTATATGATATTATTCTCTCTAGGATAGTCTTATAAAAGGTAGGGTACAATAAATATTTAATAACTTCACGATAATATGTAGATAAATAATATGCAGACTACACTACATATTAATGCAAAAAATAACTCAACGTTCTGCAAGATAATACTAGCATGCAAGCATTAAATTACACTTGTGTTCATTGTCTGCATTCTTTTCCAAATATGGCATGCTCCCTGCACTTTGCAGAAACAGGAACACATAGGAGAGCAGTTGCATGCAGGATCTGAACTGTGATTTTCTAGAAACTACCGTGTTAAAATAAAAATATCTGAATTTAATAAACTATTAATAACTCACTAAAAGCTATGAGTTTTCTAAGTTTGAGAAAAATCAACAAAAGTTTTAAAAACCTGAATAAAATTTAATTCATAACAAACCAATAATTCAACCACTAAGTTGATATTTACTGAATGGAAAATCTAAACACGTTGTGTAATTCACTATTAATGATACAATCTGTAACAGGCATGTGTTTAAAATGGATTAATTTCATATTCCAAGCTGTAAATTAAAAAGATACACTTAAAGCAAAAAATGTATGCTTCAAACTTTTCCCCACTCAAATTGTATAAAGCTCACATTTTATTTGGAAGCCCTTTATGATTATGTGATAAGCAGTTAAGTATTTTGTCTATCATAACTCTTCAAATATGTCTCCTTCACATAAAATAAACCTCCAATGTCTAGGTCTGAAGATAAAATACATATTTCAAAACACAAATATTGTAATCAGTCTAACCTTTCAGTATCTTTGTTTCATCCGCTCTGGAAAGATGTCCTTCGTCCATGAGCTTGTCTGCTGAACAAAATAGGGATTACTATCGAAGCTCAAATTCTTTGTACGTGTCTGTAATCTACATTCCATGCCCAAATTTAAACATGGTAGTATTACCTCATACTTCCCTGCACAAGAATTTATGGAGTTTTCCAGTGCAATTAAGGAATTATAAAAGAAGTGTTAATTACCTATGGATAAGTCAAATATTAAAACATAACCTGAAATATTGTCAGATTTGGGGAAGCTAAAATCACTGAATTGAAACACAAAAATATAGAATCACTGTGTTGGAAGAAGACATCTAGGCCACCAAATCCTATCCCCAGAGTACTAAAGAATCTCTAACAGATAGCTGTCAGAGTCCTGCAAGATATGATAGAAGCAGCCCAGCATTCCATTTCCATCACATCACACCAAAGACCTATGAAAAACTCACGTATAGGCATAACAGCACCTTTTCTTTTGTAGAATTCAGTATCTGGCTTAAAAGTATACTGCCTGTAATAGTGAAGGTAATTTAGAGCCCTCATGACTAATAGTCACTGATAGCATTCTAATCCATGATTCATTTGCTGATATTTTATCAAAGGGAATTAAATCAAGACATCTAAACATTTTTAATAAATTTCAGAACAGAAGTGTTTAAACCATTGTGCCAAATATAATTTTGTGTGTTGCTTTGTGTGAGATGGGCAGCTATATAAATGTGACATATAAATAAAATAAAAATAAAAATATTTTATAAAGAAAGAAAATTCAAGTTAATATTTATTCCACAAGTTCTATGGAGCCCCCCAAATGAAATGCTCATGCATGTGCAAATTATCTGATTTCACCCATGGAATTCTGACTAAAGGTTTTAGATGTCCAGTACAAAAATACCATATTTATGCAACATACTGCACAGAAGTCACATTTCTTTGCTAGAAGCAGTACTAATTAACTGGTAGTCAATTCTTAACACACAGAATACAGAAGTGAAGATAAACAATTTTGAAATGGCACACATAAGAAGTAATCCAGTTCCCACAATTTCTAGACAGACAGACAGATAGATATCAATTTTTTATTAGCCTAGTCCTTTATACATCACTGATTATATCATATTTCTATAATAAAGGAATATATTACAGTTCAACTGTTGCCTTATACAACTGAGGAGAAAGAGTATAATTAGATGTCCTTTCCTAATCATCTGTAATAAATTGATAGCAGAAGACTAGGGTGCTTTCTTGATTGTCTGGAATAATGATTCCTAAAAAGACTTGTAAATGGAACCTTTAAGATAAGTATTTTGTAGGAAATTTTAGGAGTTTGGCAGCTTTGTGCACTATATAGGATAGTCAGAAAAATCAGACCAAGAGACCAAAAGGAAGTATCAGTGGAGAGAACAAAGACAGAAAGAACAGTAACCTGGTGAATCAGAAAAGAACAAGAGACAAATGGGGCAGAAAAAAATACACATTTTGTAGTGTGTTGAACACACAAGCAGCAAAATAAAATGATAAAGTGTGATACGTTGTGGAAATAATTCTGATGACTTATAAATACTAATGTTCATTGTCAAATTAAATATAATCAAACCACCCAATAACTGAAACATCACAACATAATTTCCATATGTCAACAGCTTTTATAAATCAATTCAGAATTTTAATCCGCTCAACAAAACTACTTCATTTATCCAGGTCAAAGTCTACTGCAGAGCAATTAAATCATATGATCCATTGGTGTGATGCAAATTTACAAGATTTTAAAGTTTTAGTAGGCATCTATCTGTATTTTCGCTGAATAATAAAAAATTAATAGCTACAAATGGATGACCCAAAAGCCAGTGCTTTTGTGCAGAACTTCATTTAAACTGTTCTTTTTTGTGTATGAGAGAGAGAGATGCCTTCCTCCCATTTACACTCCCCAAAGGTGTGGTCCTGCTCATTTTACAATGACAATTGCAATGGTCTGTGAAGCACATGCTGAAGAATGGATTCAGTGACTGCAGAGATGATCACTCAAAGAGCCATAATTACAGAAAGGATAGATGATAGTATGAGCAGGGGAAGAAAAGAGAATAAAACCAGAAAAATCAGTAATTCAGATCAAGCTTACAGAATGGAAGGTGAATAGTGTGATTGGCAATATCAAAAATTCAGCTCTAGAGCTTTTTGAATGAGGGTCTATGCAAATGCAGAACTCATATGTGATACACAGAGACCATGAAAATATATTCAACATAAACAGAACTATTTCATGGTTTTATGGTAAACAGACTAAGCAAGGACAGGCTATATTTCAGGTGTAAGCCTAGCTATGAAAATACACTCTGGTCAAAAAGGATGCTTATGCTCAATCATGAAGAAATTGAACGTATTACTTTGTGACTCAGGTAAAACAATTCTTCTAGTGAGAACCCTAAGGGGTTTTCTTTTAAATTGCATTACCACTTCAAGAATGGACCATCAAGGACCTCTGATATATGCCAGAACCATAAAAAGGGATTATTTTTCCCTATTTTAATCAAAGGGTTAAATATAAACTAACTTGTCTATTCTTTCACGTGAGTACTGAATGTGTAATATGCCTTTCCTGAATAACCAGCAAGAGACTGTGGTTGAAAACTGTCCCCATGTGCTTCTCAACTAGTTCCTTAGACTTATGAAATTATGTCATTCTTACTAGCAACAAAGGTTCACAGTTGCTAGAGATTGGAAACACAATTACACTGGTTTTAATCTTAAATATATATGTACCATCACACAGAACTAAATTTCTGGGAGGAAAAAAATCACAAATATTTGCTTAGCCTAGTACATTTTTTCTTCCACTTACTAAATTGAATTATCTTCTTATAATTATCATTTATTTATAATCAAATAGTCTTCCAAAGGGTTGTTGTTATATGGCAGCATCTAGAAAGTAGGGCTATGCAGAGCATTCCAAAGATGTGCTTTGTAAAGTATATCAATGAAGCCCTGAAGTGTGGAAGGCTCAAGCAATTGCTTTGAAGGGGCCCTCATGCTTCTATTGGGGCTGCCAGCCTTTAAAGAGAAGCCACCGTGCACACACACATACTGTACCCATGCAAACAGCTAGTGATAGCCGCTGAAGCAGCTACATCTTTTGGAAGGCTTGTGCGCTGATATAATATTTTGAAGAGAGATGCTTTGCTTGTGCTAACATACTTTCTGAAGCACCTCTTTTAAATGTTTTACCTGATTCCACTGGAATCTTTTCAGGTTTCTGTGGCTGTAGACAATGTTTTACCACTAAAACCTCTTCAGGTGACTGAACATGTTCCATAGTTTGCTACTGTACCTGCTTCCACTTCTAGGAAATTAACATTTTGTATCTTTAGTTTGGACTAAGGCATTTGCTTACTTATACATGAGTTCTTAGAACTACAAGGAAAGTATTATAAATTGTTATCTTCTCCACAGCTGTGATTTTTTCCCCTCTATTTTCCTTCATCCAGTTTTGCTTAATGTATACTAACTAAAATATATTAAATGTATATAATAATTACAATTACATATATAGGTCAATAACAGAAACTTTAAAAATTTTGGTTTTTTTCTACTTTGGTTCATGTAATATTAAAATATATCATCAACAACACTCTCATCAACAATAATTCCTTAATGTATTTAAGAGGTTTGACTATGACGATCTAGGAGAACAGTTTTTTTTAGATTTTTTTTTTATTTACTCCTTTCCCTCCTCCCTGCTTTTTTTTTTGGCCTCTAATGGTTATACTGATGTT